CCACAAAGACACAATACAAGAAAGGCAAAGATTCTTTGTATGCCCAGGGTAAGACAGCTTCTGTGTAATTTGGTTTTGGTGTGGCATTTGTGAAGTGTGCTACGAGCGCAGTTTTTTTCCCTCAAAGTTTCCTCTTCAGTACTGGGGATTAAACCCAGGGCCTTTGCACTAAACTACATCACCAGCCTTTAGACAGGATCTGGCCAAGTCCTCCAGGCCAAGTTTAACCTTGGCTGCAGCTCCCAAGAATGCTTGAAAAGTTTTTTTTTTTTAACCTTTAGCTGGGAAGCCCTAGATAAAACCTATTAAGACTTCATGTGTATTGTGATTCATGGTTTTAATTATAACAACGAATAACTTTCCTTCCAGGAAAGCGGCGTTATGACAGGAAGCAGAGTGGCTATGGTGGACAGACTAAGCCGATTTTCCGGAAAAAGGTTAGTAGTGGTTACTAATTGATAAGTTTCTTGGGTACACTCCTTCTTACTGTGGTAACGGCCTTGCACTTGTAACCTCTCTAGTCTGCACACATCACTAGCATTCATTTCAGCAAAGTTACTGCAGGCTGTGGTGATAGGGTAGTGGAGCTGGGAATACAGCCAACATCTGACTCTAGTTTACAATAATGTACCTTTGTTGTTTTGTCCTTTCCTTTCTGAAGAGCCAAAAAGTCAAGGAATGTTTACTCCTTGCCTAAGAACTGAAGTGAGTATGCTAGTACTTTCATCTGTCCTGTTTGGTCATCATCATAGTTGAGTACTTAGCACTTGGTTGCAGTAGGACCTGGGGCTGAGGGTGTAAGTAGTCCAGTGATTGCCTAGCATGGGTGAAGCCCAGGGTGTCATCCCCAGCCCTGCAAGAAAATGGAGGAGATTGTTACTTGGCCTGGGGATGTACCTCACTGGTAGTGCTTGACATGCACAAGACAAGTAGTTAGCACATTGCCTAGAACAGGGCATTCCCTTCAGCATTTCTTAGCACTTTGGTCCTGTCTGGTTCCAGAAAATGTTAATGACTGCATTTAGGTACAATTAAAAAAAAAGTTCCTTTTCAAGTTTATGTAACTGAGAAGATGGGAAGGTTTTGGCTTTCTGAAAAAAATGGAGACAAGCTGGAGAATTCTAGCTAAAGGGACAGGCTTAAAAAGTTATTAGTGAAGAGCAGTAACTTGAATTGTTAACTTATTTTTGGATTGTGTGAAATATTTAAGAACTGTAGATTTAAAAGACTACAAGTACAAGGAAGCATGAGATCCTAATTGATAAGTATTCTATGATATTTTCTCTGTCTAGCTAAAGACAAATTGTGACAGTTATCATCTGCAAAGCTTTAAGTAGATTGAACCTAACATTGTCCTGGATTTTTGACACAGGCTCTCACTATCTAGCACAGGCTGGGCCTCAAACTTGCAGTGATTTTCCTGCCTCAGCCTCCCAAGTACTGGGATTACAGGCAGGCACCATCATGTCTGGCTTAGTCATATTTTTTAAGGAAGTGATTTTCTGATGGATTTGACTTTTTTCACAGGCCAAAACTACAAAGAAGATTGTGCTGAGGCTTGAGTGTGTTGAACCCAACTGCAGATCTAAGAGAATGCTGGCTATTAAGAGATGCAAGCATTTTGAACTGGGAGGAGATAAGAAGAGAAAGGTACAATTCATTTCTTAGAGGTTTATTTGGAGAGGTGAACATTTTTGCTCATAGTGGCAGATATCTGAGGTGGTTCTCAAAAACCTCCCCATCAGAAGGGTCAGGTTATATATCCCTTATGTGAAATATTTGGCAATATTCTTGATCCAAAATCCAAAACTGTTTTAGCATCATCATAAACATCATATTGACATTCAAAAGCTTCAGAAAATAGGAAGAATAAAAAGATTTGCTCTAATATAGCATGATCTCCTTAGGAAATACAAAACTCAACTTTTTTTTTTCTGTTACAGGGCCAAGTGATCCAGTTCTAAGCTTCATCTTTTGTTTTATTATGAAGACAATAAAATCTTGCCACATTCATTTCATTGGTTGTACTCTGTCTTTTGGGAAGGAGTAAGCTAGAGCCATCAACAAAATTTCCCATGGGAAATTCATGCTTCATGATTCTTTGTATTTCTTGATTGAATTTGATAGGTTGAGCTAATATCAAATGTTATCTTTATCTGACAGTTTTTAAGTCCTTGGGCTGTCATTGGATCTTGTTTGCTGTTAGTTGGTTATGTAACCTAAGCGATATGTTTCAGGATAATGGGGACAGGTCAATAATATAGCCATAGTGACTAAAGTGTATCAAGAGTTGACATTTTTTTTGGTGCCAGGGATTGGGACCTTGTGGCTGCGAGGCAACAGCACCACTGAGCTAAATCCCTGGCCCCCAAGAGTTGAATAATCTTAACATACTGATATTTAAGGCTTTTTATAAGGTGTTTTAGTTGTGTTTTCCAGACACCGATAAATTATAATATGTATTATAATTATGTACTCAGGCTTACATACAACCCCCCTCACTTTTTAAAATGGGAACATACAACTTTCAGTGTGTTAAGTGCCCCAGTCTTTTTTTTTTTTTCCCCAAGCAGTCTTATTCAGGTACATTTTATTAATGTGTCTTGACAGTTTCAAATTACATGTTTTTACACTTCATTCTTGCTGATGTTGATCTCTTTGTATTTCAGCAGCAAAACTGTAGGATAAAAATATGCTATATAATTTTCATAACGAGATACATCTCAAGGTAGAAACTAGTTTGTGTACCTATTATGGACATGTACAGGTTTAATGACTTCTTTCTTTCCAAGACAGTATCTCTGTAGATCTGGCTGGCTTCAAATTCAGTGATCTTACTGCCTTAGGCTCCCTTACTGCTGGGGTTGTAGGCATGTGCTTCCATACTTGGCTTAGGTTTAGTAATTATATCACAACTTTTTCAGTGCACTAAGTATGTATTAGTCCTCCAATTTTGGTGAAAATAAAGATTGGTAATTACCTGATGGGTAAAATTATTCCAGCATGTACTTTTGTTTTTTAGATGGGCCTTTTGTTACTCTTGTGTGCACATTCAAGATGGGTGAGGTGTATACTTTTAAAATATTTTCTGCTTGTGTGGGAAAAGGGTGGTTGGTTATATATTTGTTCTCAGGAAAAACAGGAAAAGTAGTGATTATGTGGTAGTGTATGCCAGCAATCCCAACACTTTAGGAGGGTGGCAGGAGGTCATAAGCTTGAATCCAGCCCGGGGAATTTAGTAAGACCCTACCTGAAAAAAAAAGGAAATTCCCTTGTAAGTTCTCTGTATGAATACCCTTGTTTGAAATTCACTGCCTTATAGGAGGTAAGACAGTTCATTTTATTACAAGGTTTTTTTTTTTTTTCTTTCTGGTAGTAGTGATTGACCTTGGATCCTACTAATCTTGGATCCTACTTACAAGGGGCAGGTGGTGGAACCACTGAGCTAAATCCCTAGCCCAAGACATTTCATTTTAAAAGGGGGGTGGTAGTTTCTGTATCTTAGGTTATAATGTATCTGGTTATTCTTGGTGAGAGTAGCCATTTACTGGATAGAGTTTACAGCCTGGGGTTTATCAAGGTTATTCTCACCTAGCAATTTTTTTGCCCTTCAACTAAGGAAACCCTTTTTCATTTTCTCTGCATTAATATTGTAAATAGCCACCCAAGTACCTCATTAGGCAGCAGCACAATCCTTAAGAGCTTGGGTTGAAATCCTGCCTCTGCAATTTACAGTGAGTAGACACTTGCTTTGAGGGTTAAAATGAATCAGTAACATTTTGTGCATTACAGTGCCTGGCACAGAAATACCCAATAAATTACAGGTATTATTTCTTAGAACATTAGTTTCAAAAGCCTTTTCCAAACTGTTGTCCTTATACCTTTAGAAGCAGTTTTTATGGGAGTTGGGAGTTGGAAGTGTAGCTGCTTTCCTTTCCTAGCAAGCTAGAGGCCCTGGGTTCCAGTATTAAGACTGCAAAAAAGAAGAAAATTCCATTGTTGGAAAATTTTATTTAAGCGAAGCCAGCTTTTTAGGTGGAAATGGATGAAGACTGGACAGAAAGGGGTAGTCACACTGGCAAAAAATGTACATCTTGAAGCACTTTTAATTTTTTTGAAGCATTCCGGCGGCTTCTAGCCTAAGTAAAACAGTGCCTGTGGGATTTATTTTCGTTTTTAAGCTTGAAGTCCACTCATAGAACCCCAGCTCCCTTTTCATAGGAAGGAGCTGAGTAATGAAGCAGCCAGGGTTACAGGCCACACCATGACCCAGAGAAACAATTGCGATAGTGTAAAAACAAGGTCCACCAATTTCCTGCAAGTTTCTCACTGCAATAGCCCAAGCTAAATTTGAGAGAGGTCGTTCCCACAGCTCAATATTTTCTTCCTGAAAAGCCAAGAAAATAGGTGTGACTTCTTGATAACAGCAGTAAGTTGCCTTGTCAGTTTGGCAATCAGTCTGGTCAGAATCAGAAAGCATTTACAGGGAAAATTAAAATTATCCTGTAGCACATTTTGGAAATAATAGTTCTAGCAAGAAACCTTATTACTACTGATTACAGCATCAAGATAAAGGACAAAAAAATCCTCAAAATATCAGTCCTATGTTCCTATGTAACAGATTTTGGCTTAAGATAAACTTGGTACTTGAGTATAAAAGCCACTTTAAAATATACACCCAAAGCCATCCATGAGGATACAGGCTTGTAATCCCAGCAGGATCCTTAGGATCACAAGTTCAAGCCCAACCTGGTTAATTTAGCAAGACTGTTTCAAAGTAAAAAAAAAAAGGTGCCTTCCAAGCAAAAGATCCTGAGTTCAATCCCCAGTACTGGGGTGTATGTGTGTGTAATAACTCAGTGTAAAGGTCCTGGATTTGATCTCCATTACCAAAAACAAAAAACAAAAAAAAACACTCAAACACTTGGATTAGTTGTAAACCAGAGGCAGGAGAACATGTACGTAGCATATTTTCTCCCATGGAACATTATTTACTATACCTTTCTAAGGCGGTACCCCTGTTTGCCCAAGGGGTCTTGATTGATGGCAATCACATCCTTATTCTGAAGTAAAGCTTTGGCTTCAGGGCTGATCTGTCGGAGGTCATTGGACATGAGTAAAGGAGCTGCCATGATAGCCCAGAGGGCCATCTGAGTTACTTGCTGATCCCAGCTGAGGCCAAAGTTACCAATCACTAACTAGGACAAAGAATGAAATAATTAAATGAGAAGATGGAAACATTTTTAAAGCTACCTGGATGACCCATAGAATCCACTTCCATAGCACCCTGCTGTCTATACTCTCACAGAAAGCCTACTACCAGGAACTTTTTCTGTATTTACCATGAATATGGAAGAGGAAATAGGCCTGTTACAGTCTTTGAAAAGGAGGGCTGAGATCCTTACCATATCTGGGTCATTCCAACCCCCTGGTCCAGCAACATCAACAATTTTCTCCTGGTTAGACGAAGTCCAGTCCAAGATACTCTTTATACTTTGCCAAGAATCAGAAACATCAGCAAAATTTCTCCAGTGATTACAGTACTGTCGGATAGCTGTATAATTGGGCTGTGAAAACAGGATTCTTATTTACTTAATAATATTTTGTGAGATAGAAAACTGTCCAATTTAAAGGAGGCTATTTGAAGCCTCTTTAGGTTACAGATCGAAGGTCTTCATGAGGAAGTCTAAATATAAGGGTATTTGGCCAGGAATTGGCTCAGTGGTTCCGCTGCCTACCTCACAAGCACAAGGTCCTGAATTCAACCCCCGACCCGGAAAAAAAAAAAAAAACGGGGGGGGGATTTCATTGTAAGAAATTTTCTTTCAGAAGTAGGCCACTGTTTATGCTGGAAACTTACCAAATGGTATCTAGGTTTTGGCATTATGAAAGATTTTAATTTTCTTTAGAGGTCACTGTATTTTGAAGCTTTTCTAATAAAATGATCTGTTTGCTTTGAGACAGGATTTGAGTTGAGGCTGCTCTTGAACTCACTATGTAGCCCAAGCTGGTCTTGAACTCATAGTGATCCTCCCCCCATCTCAGCCTCCCAAGTTCTGGGATTACAGGTGTATGCCACCACTTTCAGCTTAATAAAATGATTTTAACAAGTAAAAAGCTGCAAAATTATATAGGACTCCATCAAACATAGTGAGATCTGACTATAATATATTAATATATATTCATATATATATATAAATAATTTGTTAATGGAATGAATAAAAGTTTGTAAATAGGTAGGTGTGATATCTCAGGTTTATGTTGAGGACAAGGTGAGAATTTTCCTGAGAGTTCAAGAAAATAATGGAGATCCAATCTATAAATAATTATTCATGGGGCCGGGGATTTAGCTCAGTGGTTCCACTGCCTGCCTCGCAAGCACAAGGACCTGAGTTTGATCCCCAGTACCACACAAAAAAAAAAAATATTCAACACATACCATATACTAGGGATTCAGAGATAGTCAGACAAAGGTACCTGCCCTCACAAATTTATATTCCACAAATCAACAAATGTCCTATAAAGTGCTAAGCTCTTAGAAGGAAATTAAATGGGTTAATGTGATAAAGAATGGATGGACAGAGGGCTACGTTAAAATGAATGTGACATCTGGTCTGAGATTTTAGTGTTAAGAGCTGACCCTTTAAATATCTTGGGGGAAGAAGGTTCCCCTCAGAAAACAAATAGCAAGTGTAAAAATGATAGTGATGTTGAAGGGATAGAAAGAAAACCACTGTATTGAAATAAAAAGTGATCACTCTTGAGGTAGATAGGGGGCCAGATCAGTGGTTTGATTTTATTCCAAGTGCAATGGGAAGTCAGTTAAAAGTTTTAGGTAGGGGAGTGATAAATTGCCATTGATATTTTAACAAGATAACTCTAGTGCTGCTTGGAAAATGGATGGGGGTAGGGAAAGAAGTAGATCAGGCCATCATAGCAGTCTAGGTGAGAGATAAGACAACTCGGAAGGCCAGAGTGGGTACAGTGAAGATGGAAAGATATTTTGGAGATAGGAAGCACTGCTGATGGATGAGGCATGAATGGTGAGATAAAGGAAAGAATCAAAGATGACTCGCTAGGTGGTGGTAGCTCAGAGGATAATTATAGCAATGTTGAAAAGTGCTTGGGCTTTGAAGGAGAATTTTGTCTCTTTAGTTGTCAAGTTCTGAAAATCAGATCCTGGGCTCACTAGCTCACCTTATGAAAGGGCCTCAGATAAAAAGGCCACTCACACGAGTAAACAATGCTTCTGCCAGTCCTGTTCAAGGCCAAGGACATGTATTTATAACCTGTATGAGAAAACAATGGGTAAAATAAAGGAAAGAAGGGAATTTCCAGTTGGGGCTGTATATTGGAGGAGGTTTCTGGAAGGTCCACGTTTACATTCTAAACCAGTGCCAGGGACAGTTTGTTGCTTTGTATATAAATTGCATGGAGTATCTTCCAGACTACTGGGATTGTTTTGAGGAGGGAGCAGAGAGATGGTATATATATTGAGTAAAAGCAAGAATAAAGATGATTTTCTCTGTGACTGTGTGATGTGCTGGACTTTTTCCTAAATGATGTTATAGAGTTACAATTACTAATTGTATTTAATTGTTAGCGCCCTCTTGAATTAAAAGTGTACAATATTAGCCATGGTTAGGCATGCACAGATTCCACATACATGAATAAGTAAATGAATGAAAGAAAACGAAAGAAAAGTAGGAGTTCTGGAATATTACGAAGAATTATTTCCAATATTGTGACTGGGTTTTTAAAATCAGAAGAGTAGTTCTTTGGGTACTTGGCTATGTTGGCTTCAAAGTTATCCCCTTTGCTCATGGCTAAATCTCTCAATTGAAACATACCATTTTCCAAATGCTTTATACTGTCACAGTAACAACCATCAAATTTTAGCAGATCTACTCCCCAGTCAGCAAAGGTCTGGGCATCAAGGTCATAGTGTCCAAAACTTCCAGGGAAACCAGCGCAGGTTTTATTTCCAACATCTGCATAAATCCCTAGCTTCAGCCCTTTGCTATGAACCTGAAATAAGAAGAAAAAGTTACTACAATATAAGACAATCATGAAGAAGCAGAGAGAACCACTTCAGGCCAGGGGCAGAGACAAGTGTACTTCACCAGATATTGGGAGCCTTTTTTCATGATCCCTCATTTTCATTCTCCAGACAAGTTTGTTAGAAGACAAAGAACAAATCCCTCAATTCTTCCAAGTTTAAGCTGTATCTGTCAGCTGTAGCACAGCTCTGAAGAAAATGCTATCAGCTACTCTAATATTCTGATTTATTTTATTTTTTGTACTGGGGCTAGCACTCAGAACCTTGCACTTGTGAGGCAGGCACTGGAACCAATGAGTTAAACCCCCAGCCCTACTCTAATATTCTTGAAGGGATACTAAAAGGTACTTTTCTAGGACACTGACAGATTTCTGTTTGTTTTTTTTTGGGGGGGGGCGGGGAGCAGTACTGGGAATCAAACTCAAGACCTTGTGCATGCCAGGCAGCACCACTGAGCTACCTCCCAAGCCCAGTGACAGATTTATTTCAACAAAGACTCTCCTTTAGTAACATTTACTTAGGCTCTCTGAACCTTCTTTGCACCTTGGCCTTGGCTGAGTCTATCCTAGAAAGCTGTCTGAGCAAGCATCATGCTAAGTTAGCCCTTCTACCTTTAGTAATTTTTCATCTACTGACCCTCTCATCTGCCCTTGGATATAAACTCATTTGTCTTCGTTACATTCGGACTTGGGTATGGCTCTTTCCTCTACTGCAACAGTACTGAATAAAACCTTTCTTCATTACCTTTTGCTAGTGTTAGGCCCTATTTATCTTCAATAATGTCCAGAATATTATTCTATCATCTTCTAAAATTCTACTTTACAATTGAACTGGAATTACTGCATAAAGCTTATATATGAATACATGCACACATGTGAAGAGAACCAAGTTCCTTTTTCTTCTCAGAGAATTCAATGGTTTTAGCAAAAGGAGAACTTCAAAATGGACTTCAAGAACTACTGCAAAGCACACACCTGTAATCTCAGCACTTGGGAGGCTGAGGCAGGAGAATTGCCATGAGTTTGAGGCCAGCCTGGGCTACTTAGTGAGTTCAAAGGCCAGCCTGGGCAAGATCCTGTCTCAAAAATAAATAGACAGATAGATAGATAGATAGATAGATAGATAGAAAGAAAAGAAAAGAACTATTGCAAAACATGTACATGCTGATGGGATGAAAATACCATCTGATAAGCCCTACAATTCAACATTCAGATAATAACAGCCATGCTGTCATGAGGACTGTTTTTTTTTTTAATTTAATTTAATTTATTGGTACATTCTAGGTAGACAGTACAGTTACATTCATTACTGGGATCTTGTACCTTTACATGCCAGGTCTTGGTTCTCATTTTTTCCCCTTGTCCCCTCCCTCCCTTCACACCCTCTCCCCCTCCCCACCTACTAAGACTTTAATTCCATTTACCTTACTGTTCCTACACCTTTGGTCCTTGTCTTCCTATTTCACGTTGCTAATTGCCCCGTTAGGATCTTGAGTACTATTTTAGTTTTTCACACCAGAGAAACTATTTGGTATTTGCATATGTGTGACTTATTTATTTCACTTAGGAGTATATCCTCAAAATGAACCCATTTACCTATGAATGTGTCATGAGGACTGTTGATCAACAAAAGTCCTTACAGACTTCTTGGATTAAAAAAACAAATTAATCTATAATAGATATGGCGAATCTCTTGGAGCTTTCAATAACAGCGCACTGCAGCACATGTACTATAGGTTCACCACCACTGATCTATAAACTCACATAATTAGCTAGGCGTCGGATTCCACCAGGAAAGCGTTGAGGGTCTGCCTGAAGTCTGTCTTCTGAATCTCTCTGGGGAGCCATCCAACAGTCATCAATGCAGAGGTACTTATAACCTACATCTTTCCAGCCATCTGAGACCATAAGCTCTGCCATCTGCATGAAGAGCTGCTCACTGAAAGAGAAATTCCCATAATCATTATAATTCAATAGATAAATGCGTCAGTATTCCTATTAGGCACCTTCGGATTTCATGGATTTTAAAATCCATTTATACTGTGGTAGTAATCACAAGTAGCACAAGATAAAATTAAATGTTCTTCTTCCAATTTTTCTTCTCTTCCTTCCTCTAACCCCTGAACACTGCTGCCCTAAGAATTTCAAACCAGCGACTAGAGATGTAACTCAGTGGTGAAGAACTTGCCCAGCATATGGAAGGCCCTGGGTTCCATCCCCAGCACTATAAAAACATAAACACCACAAAACTTCAAACCACTGAAGTAGGAGTGGCAGATATATGAGGGAATCAGAAACGTTATTAGAACAGGGAAAGTTCAGTGAAGAAAGAAGCAACAAAGTTAACATAATAAACAGCTTCCTTAGATATCAACCTATTTATAGAGAAAATTATCCCATTCAACTATCTAGAGATAAATTTAAGATATGTGCAGAGCCCTTATGTTAAAACTATGTGCCCTTAAATGGAGAAAAATCATTTTGTTCTTGGTTAAGAAAACACAGGGATGAGGATGTATATTAGCACTAGAGTACTTGCCTGGCTTTCATGAAGGTGTGGGTTCAATCGCCAGTACCACAAAAAAGAAAAGAAATGATTATGCCAATGGTGGTACATGCCTGTAATACTAGTGCTGGGGAAGCTGAGGCAGGTGGATTACCCTGTTTTGAGGCCAGTGTGGGCTACAGTGAGTTTAAGACCAGCCTCAACTACAGAGTAACATACTAGCTCAAAAATTAAAAAAAAAGCAAAAAAAGAAAACTCAATATTTTAAAAATGCTAATTCTCCCAATAATTCTTTATAAAGCTCTGTATATTTATTAAATGTTATATTTAATAAAACCCTGAACAAATCCCAAGTTTTAAAGGAATTTGATGGAAAGATTAAAAAAAGTTCACCTAAAGGATTAAATGTGTATGTTCTCTAAAAGATAAAGGAAGCTAGTGTAGCTTAGCATTAAAATACAAAGATATATGGAATTCAAGAGAAAGTTCTGAAAGAGATGCAGCCATTTGGTATGCATGGGATTTTATCTCCTGCAAAGAATGCTAAACTGAGCTATGCAATATTTTTTGGGGGGCAGGGGAAGCTCAAGTTTATCTTCTCTCTGAGGCATACTGGTTCTAACTATACCTAAACTCTAGATTTGTAAATCTATTTTGCACCAAAACAAAACTATTTTGGACGCATTGTCTTGCTGTGTTTTGCAGGCTAGCCTGGAACTTGTGATCCTCCTGCCTTGGACTCCAGAGTAGCTGGGATTACAGGTGTAATCCCATACTCATCACTTGTCTTTCCTTTGATCTTAAACTCATTTATGATTTCTTTGTTTACAGACCTCAGTACCAAAAATCACAAGTGAAAGAATTGATGTTAATTGTATATCAAAACCAACATGCAGCCGGGCGTGGTGGCACATGCCCGTAATCCCAGCACTCGGGAGGCTGAGGCAGGAAGATTGCTGTGAGTTTCAGACCAGCCTGGGCTACATAGTGAGTTCTAGGTCAGTCTCAGCTATATAGTGAGACCCTGTCTCAACAAACAAAACAAACAAACAAACAAAATCAACATACAGCAAGAACTACCTATGTTGGCAACATACTGGAGACAAAATAAAACAAAATAACCCCCAGAGATTCCAATTGAATAGTAAACGGACATAAAGGGGTAATCCATAAGAGAAACCCATGCAAAGAGCCAATTCAACAAAGAAAAAGATATTCCACCTTTTAGTATGCAATTGAAGAATGTAAATAATTTGGCTGGTGGTGTAGCTCAGAGGGACAGAACCTGGCTAGCCTGTATGAGGCCCGGGGGTTGATTCTTAGCACCTCACCGCACTGCACCAAACCAAAGCAAACATACACACACACACACACACACACACACACACACACACAAACTCAATGCAAATAATGAAACTTACAAGACTGCAATCTTGGCCAAGTTTTGGGGAAACATAGGGTATTCTTACAAATTTTCATTGGGAATGCATACTTATAAAATCTTTGGGAAGGATAGTTTGACATGTACAACACAAGCATACGTTAATCAATTAGTGTCCTAAAGAAAGAATCAGATGAAGCACAAAAACTGAGACTCCAAGTAGCTATCAAAAGGGTAAAATAAATTATTACATACACAACACAAGCATACCTTAATCAATTAGTGTCCTAAAGAAAGAATCAGATGAAGCACAAAAACTGAGACTCCAAGTAGCTATCAAAAGGGTAAAATAAATTATTATGTATATATATATATAATACAGGTGCTAGATATTTGTAGTTAACCACTTATGACATAAACATACTATTTTTATGGAAAATAGAGAAAAATGTTTTCATTTACATAGAAAACAACTGCAAAGTCGTATACGAAAGTTTTAATTATGATTACTTCTGAGTGGTGAAATGGGGAAGTTTTAATTTTCATTATTCTCTTCTTTACTATCTACAATTTTTGCAATCACTATGCATTAGTTTTATAATCAGACAAAAATAAGACAACCACCACTTAAAAAGAAATCCACAACGAACAACTGCCACACACTGTACATCAGGGTGACAATAGACTTAGTCTGTAACTTTGAAGGCCAATTTCTTTTGTGATGTGTGACCAACATCCTGATCATATCTGTGAAGACATATACAGGAACCATTTATGAACAAAGACAGTTACTGTGACTGCTATGTTTAGTGGGAACTCTGTGTGGTGGGCTACCTTACGTTTTCAACAATATCTCCCAGTGATACTTAACCTTCTGTAAATCACAGATTTGAGAATCTAAAGTAAAGATCCCCTCTCCAGAAAATACATATACTCACATTTGCAGAACATTCATTTGCCCACGGACACCAGGAAAATAAGAACGTGTATTTCATTTGACTATGAGGAGTCAGACACTGTGCTTTGTAATTTAAATGGGTTTATCTCATTTGAAACTCACCTGTGGGAGAGGGATTATTTTATAACTTTTTCCAAGTCAGCTCCCTGATGCAAAAAAAAAGACGTTATTTCAATTTACAGACTAGGATTGTAAGGATTAGATAGGTTCGCTACCTGTGTAATCATCACAACTCTCAATTTTGACATGTGAAAGTTCCTCCAGTTCAATCCTCCAGTGGGATGCCACATTCAACAGCCGTGGGTGGGGGGGTGGTTTGAGGGAAATCTCAAAAACCTCAAGTTCTGTCTAACTCGCTCCAGTTACAGCCAAGGAACCAGTGATCCAAAAAGGTGAAGAAATGACATGAATCTTAGTTCTCTATCCCTCCTACACATTCCAGCTGTGCTTATGGCTAGCTCACGCCTAGAGCCTAGCAAAGGCACAGCACAAGCTCATAAGAAGGAACGGAATGGAACCAGTAGGTAAAGGAAGAAGTCTCTCTAACTGGGCTACCGAGCATAGCGATAGAGAGGAAATGAAGCAGGTTCGGCAGACCTCGACACCTATTCTAGGAAGGGTCACATGGAGAAAGTTTATGGTTAGTCCCATTCGAGAAAACAGTTTGCTGAGGACAAAAAAGCAATAGTAGGGGAGTTCACCCTCAAAGGTTCCACCTGAGACCCTCCACTTCCGTAAACACATCCAAACGCGGAAAAGCCAAAGGAAGGGGGCATCCAATAGCTGATACCTGATGCAGGAATCCGGTTCCTCCTGGCAGTTAAGATTGCACATGAAACGTTCCCAATGCAGCCAGCCCATGGTAGGCGTCTTCGCTAAGCCATTGTTCAGCGCCCTGGCCCCAAGGATTCCAGAGAGAACTAGGGCCAGGAAGCGGAGCATAAGCGTACAGATCTGCCGCTGATCTCCGCTCCTAAGCTTCATTACCCCAGCGACTATACAAAGGAGATTTCTGCGAGTAACCTGGGCTTTTAAATTTAACCTCAGGGACCAATCACAAATGAATTATTAAATAATGACGTTATTATTTCTCAGTTAACTGGACGGTTATCTCTAGAGGCCTACCAATGATCAATCACGTAAAACGCACCTCCAACCAATCATACGCTTCGTCTCTTGATAGCGACCCGCCCTCTTTTCAGAGCAGAAGGAAATGCAGCACCTTAGTGTTCCCGAATTTAAGCTTTGAGTTGCTCACGTGACCGAGATCTCACATGACGTAGGCGGTCACGTGATCAATCGCTTACGTGAGCAGAAGTAGTTCTGGTCGTCGCCTACCGTCTCGCTATAGCCGTTTGAGGGAAGAAGGAGGAAAATAACCCGGTGTCTTTAGAGGTTGGTGTGTGGGTGGGAAGTGGGAACCCGGGGTTGGTGATGATGAAGACCAATGTGGGGTCCTCGGCCTGCCTCCGCCTTTTTCGTTCACTGTTTTCCCCTCCCCCCGCTTCCCTCCCCCTCGTCTCTGTGCCGGGAAGCCGCCTTTGCTAAGCCTGGTGGGGAAATGGTGGACGTTCCTGACTCTGTGTGCGTGTTTGTATCTGCCTGTCCGAGCCGGTCTCAGGGACCCCAACGGGAACTGTACAGTGAAAAATGTGCCAAAAGAATTAGGGAAAACATATTGAGACCAATGGTCTGAGTGCAGGTCCAGCCATTCAGGAACTCAGTCTATATTGCCTGATTGTGTGACTGTCGGGAAAGGCCCCAAGTGAATTATCAGAGTCGCATCTAGGCAAACGCTGCGTAACTGCCAGAGGCGCACAATAAATGCTTTTACTTGAGAATTTGAATAACGTTTGTTTTTCTGCTTACAACAATAATCGATATGTTGAATTTGATCATTCAAAAATTACAATGTACTTTATACATTTTAAAGACAAACGCAGTTCAAAACTACTCAACTTTTTGTCGTTAGTTTTTAAAAAAATTATTATAACACACATAATACACAGATTCTTAATTCTCATATGGAATCTGGGTTCCTACGTAAGGCCACAGAGTTTTGTTGATCTTCCCGGGAGATGTAAGGAAGCACAACCTCTTGGCCACTACACAGGGACTATTAAGGTTTAGGATGATGCAGGACTCATCATCTTCATCCCAGGGATGGTCTGTCACTGAGCCCTAAGGATGGTTTGTAGGAAGACTGTCGCCACAGCAGAAGTGGGCACACATTAAACAATTAGTAAATGTTTGAATTTAGTTCTGTGTGATTTTATGGCAGCTATTCACTTTTTAAGAGTACCAGTGTTCTCAGACCATGTCAGATAAAGCATCCACACTCAAAATTAGAAAATTTTATAAAATTTAATAGATCAAATCCCACAAAAGCAAACACTTTGTTTGTTGTTGTTGTTGAAATGAAAGTAATTATTCTCTCTGTGGAAAAATTAAGATTGCACAAATAATTGAAAAAAAATGTAAAAAGCCATAAATCTCAGAATAACCACTTTTAACATTTGACATACTCCCCATGCTTATGCTTTTCCAATATTGGTATTTATATTCCAGTACAGTTTAAAGAATTAAAATTATATGGAAATATGTAGGATAAAAAGTGAAAGTCTTACTTTGTTTCCCCTGCCCTCCATCTGTTCTTTTCTCAAAAAGAAGTTTGCATTATATACCTCTTGATACTCTTTTACACATTTACCAACATGCTTATATTTTAATATAAATAAGAGCATAATGTATGTATAATTCTTTCATTTAATGTGTTTTGAAAATCTAGGTCAGAGCAGATAGAGCTCTGTTTTACTAGATGGCTGCCATAGCATTCCATTTTATGGATGTTACAATTCATTAAGCCATCCCCCTGTTGGTAGTTGTCTAGGTTTCTATTTTTCTGCCATTAACAGTGCTGCAGAGAACATTTGTATTTCTGTTGACCATATTCCTGGAAGGAATTCTAGCAAGGTCAAGGGGTATGTAGACATTTATTTTGAGATTCTATTATAAAGTAGCTGTGATCTTGGACCATTTATGATTACAACATAAGTCATAACTTTTGATTGCATGAATAACACTGCATTTTTCTTAATAAAATGCCTTTCAGCTCCGTGAGTCTTGGTCTGAATTTAAAATCATCTTTAAGGTACATAATCTGAAGTGGGTTTACTGTCACAAAGTGTGATTAATACCAAATTGTTTCCCAGAATACTTTATCAGTTTTCAATCCTGTAGTATTGTATTAGTTTGTGAACTCTTGAGTAGCATTGACTTATTGTCACTGTTTAATTTGTACTTCCTTGATGGGTAAAAAAATGGGTGATTAATTCTGGTTTTAACTTGCATTTCCAGTGATTGAATAGGTTTAAATGTTTCGCAGGCTTCTCTCCTGTATCCTGCTATATTTAATCTGCTGTTATGTCCCAGGGTTCTACTTTTTCATATAGATCAATATTCCTTCCCCTTTTTATTGTTGTTTTCTTAGTGATTCCCTTAACATATTTTTAAGAGGCCATTCTAACTATTGCTTGCTGCACCTAGAACCCCTTTTGTTTGAGTGCCACACTGTTGCCTGGGTGATATGTCTGAAAGAGTTTTGATGACATCACTTGGGATCTGATCTCTACCTTGTCAGCCTTATTTCTTGTTTGTTTCCATCTATTTTATGTTCCATCAGAATTTTTAAAATTTGTTTATGGATCTCTGAAGATGTTAATCTGTTTTATTTAACCATGTTGCCTCCATCTGATAGAATTGACCATCTATTTCCTCCATTATACTATTCTTACTCACTTCAGAGGGTTCTGTCATAGCAGGTATAATGTATATTTGCATTTATTTCTTTAGTAAAGACATACAGTAACCTATAAGACCATAAGCCTTTTCTTGGTTTATTGATGCTTGTGTGCTAGAGGTGAACACTGGACCTGGCACCTAAAAGTATTTGGATATTTAAGTTCCTATTACTGTCTGTTTTCCATTTATGTCTTAGGCCTTAATATTTCCCTAATTTTATTGACTTGCACATATTTTTACATGATGTTAATGTATTTGTTGCAGGTATTTCCTCATTTGTTATTTTTTTGTTTGTTTGATTTTGTATTTTTTTTTTTTTTGGTTTTTTGCGACAAGGTCTCAGTATAGTTGAGACTGACCTGGAACTCACTGTGTAGCCCAGGCTGGTCTTGAACTCACGGCGATCCTCCTGCCTCAGCCTCCTGAGTGCTGGGATTACAGGCGTGTGCCACTACGCCCGGCTCTCCTCATTTGTTTTAATTCTATTTAATCCTTTGATCTAATAAAGTTTTTCTTTTTATGTAATCACATATAGCTATATTTTTTGTTGATATCTTTCACTGATTTTGTTGCTGTTAACTTTTTAGGTCTTTTTACTTACTGTCTCTTTTGTTTATACATGGTCAGAGCAGAAAATTTAGAATGTACAGAAATATACAAATGGGAAAAAAATCCTCTGAAACAAAAAGCTCCCATAATCCTACCACCCTGAAATAAACACCATTAATGATAACTGATATATAATAGACATTGAATAAGCTATGGATGAATGGATGATTTAAAAATTTGGTATAGTCTTTTTGTTTATATGAATATATATTTTAAAGAGGTACCAATGTAATTGTTTTATATTGTTTGCTTTTTTTCTCTTACTCTATTGTGAACATTTTCCCATGACAATAGTCTCCTAATTATTTTTTCAGCCACATTAAGATTGCATTGAGCCAAGCTTGCCATCAAGAGCCCAACAGTCACCATGATGCTGAGCACAGAAGGCAGGGAAGGGTTCGTGGTGAAGGTCAGGGGCCTACCCTGGTCCTGCTCAGCTGATGAAGTGATGCGCTTCTTCTCTGATTGCAAAATCCAGAATGGCACATCAGGTATTCGTTTCATCTACACCAGAGAAGGCAGACCAAGTGGTGAAGCATTTGTTGAACTTGAATCAGAAGATGAAGTGAAATTGGCTTTGAAGAAGGACAGAGAAACCATGGGTCACAGATACGTTGAAGTATTCAAGTCCAACAGTGTTGAAATGGATTGGGTGTTGAAGCATACAGGTCCAAATAGTCCTGATACTTCCAATGATGGCTTCGTCCGGCTTAGAGGACTCCCATTTGGCTGTAGCAAGGAAGAGATTGTTCAGTTCTTTTCAGGGCTGGAAATTGTGCCAAATGGGATGACACTGCCAGTGGACTTTCAGGGGCGGAGCATGGGGGAAGCCTTTGTGCAGTTTGCTTCACAGGAGATAGCTGAAAAAGCCTTAAAGAAACATAAGGAAACAACAGGGCACAGGTACATTGAAATATTCAAGAGTAGCAGAGCTGAAGTCCGAACCCACTATGATCCTCCTCGTAAGCTCATGGCCATGCAGCGGCCAGGTCCTTATGATAGGCCTGGGGCTGGCCGAGGCTATAATAGCATTGGCAGAGGAGCTGGGTTTGAAAGGATGAGGCGGGGTGCGTATGGTGGAGGGTATGGAGGCTATGATGATTATGGTGGTTATAATGATGGCTATGGATTTGGGTCTGATAGGTTTGGAAGAGACCTCAATTACTGTTTCTCAGGAATGTCTGATCATAGATATGGAGATGGTGGGTCTAGTTTCCAGAGCACCACGGGGCACTGTGTACACATGAGAGGGTTACCTTACAGAGCCACTGAGAATGATATTTATAATTTTTTCTCACCTCTTAACCCCATGAGAGTACACATTGAAATTGGACCCGATGGCAGGGTTACAGGTGAGGCAGATGTTGAATTTGCTACTCATGAAGATGCAGTGGCAGCTATGGCAAAAGATAAAGCTAATATGCAACACAGTTATGTGAAGCTCTTCTTGAATTCTACTGCAGGAACAAGTGGAGGAGGTTATGATCATAGCTATGTAGAACTCTTTTTGAATTCTACAGCAGGGGCAAGTGGTGGTGCTTATGGTAGCCAAATGATGGGAGGGATGGGCTTATCTAACCAGTCTAGTTATGGGGGTCCTGCCAGCCAGCAGCTGAGTGGTGGTTATGGAGGCGGTTATGGTGGTCAGAGCAGTATGAGTGGATATGACCAAGTTCTGCAGGAAAACTCCAGTGACTACCAGTCAAACCTCGCTTAAGGTAGACAAAGAGCATTAAACAGCTACTATAGAAATAAAAGCTGTGCATTATGGGAGTTGGATAGAATGGGAGGGATGTCTAGTATATCTAATATGATTGGTAAATGGAAAATATAATGATTCTGATTGCTCTTGGTCACCTAGCTTGCCTGCCCTCCCTTTCTTTCTCTCCCTCTTTTTTCTTTTCCTTTCTTTTCTGTCCTCCTTTCTTCCTTTCTTTCCTCCTCCTCCTCTCCTTTTTTAAGAAAATAAAAATTAACAGTTTTGCATTACAGGCTTGTGATTCATGCTTACTGTAAAGTGGAAATCAAGATTGTTTTAAAACTTAAGTAATTTTGAACACTGAAACATCATCTAGGACGTAATAACAAAGTTCAGTATTGACTATAACATAAAACAACTTTCAGCTTTCCTCAAGTTAGTTATGTTGTAGGAGTGTACCTAAGCAGTAAGCATATTTAGGTTAAAGCAGTTTCACTTATGTTAAATGTTGCTCTTATACCACAGTACATTGAACACTTCAGATGCATGTTGAGAAACGTGCTGTTCTGTAAAACTCAAATATAGGAGCTGTGTCTATGATTCAAAGTGAAAACATTTGGCATGTTTGTTAATTCTAGCTTTTTGGTTTAATATCCTGTAAGGCACGTGAGTGTAAACTTTCACTTTTTTTTTTAAGATCGGGACAATTTTGAGATGTAATACCAATACTTTAGGAGTTTGGTCATGTCATTTGTACGGAATTCTGAGGCTTTGATTTAAATCTTTTCCTTGTATTGTGATTTCCATTTAGATGTATTGTACTAAGTGAAACTTGTTAAATAAATCTTCCTTTTAAAAACTGGAAAAATAGCTTGATTTTTTAATGATATTTCATTATATGGACACATTTTATTTTTAGTTAGGACACATTTTAATTGACTTTAAAATCTCTTGAAGTTTAAATTCTTAGTTTTTAAACTATAAATATTACATTAGCATTTTTATATATGCATCATTTTGTATATCATTTGCATTTCAAATTGCTGAGTCAAAGGTATAAACACTTTAAAAGCTTTTGATATTTCCTACCAGAAAGATTATGATACTTGGTCTCCCCCCAAGAAGGGCATGCTTTTTATTTTTCTCCTGTACCGTCTTTAATGATACATATTTCTCTTCTTTCTTCCCTTCCTCCCTTACTGTCGTTTCCCTCCTTTCTTCCCACCCTCTCTCCCTCCCTCCTTCTTCTCGCCTTCTTTGCCTCCTTCCCTTCCCTTTCTTACTTCTTTCCTTCCTTTCTACTGAGGCTTGAACTCAGGGCCTTCACACTGAGCTACATCCCCAGTCCTTTCTGAATTGTATATTGTACATCATCATTTTGCTAAGAAATTACCTAGGCTGAACTTGAACTTGGAATTCTGGCTCAGACTCCCAGAGTGCTGGGATTACAGGCATGTACTGCTATCCCTGGTTTACATCGTTTTTAATCTTTGCCAGTTTGATAGTTGAAAAATGATACACTGTTGCTCTTTTAATTTGTAGTAATATTGAGTTGAACATTTTCCTCTTTCTATTTTTTTCTATTTCCTCTTCTAAACTTATTTCCATCTCAACAGGACTCTTGGAGACTTCCTACTTTATTGAAACAATATTCTCTAAAATCTAAAAAAATAATTATTTTCATTTAACCTTAAATGAGAAGATTTGGCACACATTTGTTTAAAAAAAAAGTAGGGCCAGGTGAAGTGGTGCACACCTCAGGAGGCTGAGGCAGGAGGATTGCTGTGAGTTGGAGGACCCAGCTACATAGTGTTGAGTTCAAGGCAAACCTGGAATATAAGACTGACTTAAAAAAAAAGTAGGCTTATTATAGAAACAATCCTATCTCCATGAATTCATTAATAGAGCCATTGTGTTCTACACTGGCTTCAAAGTCAAGATTTTCTTGCCTCAGCTTCCCAAGTGCTGGCATTTTTGTATGTGCTGCTGTGCCTTGCTTCCAGGAAATGTAAAACTTGTTTTCATTTAGTGGTTCTGCAACTTTATCTTGCTTCAGTATAATTTGCAGGGTTTATTAAAACATTTGCTGGGCCTCCTACCTAGAAGGTTCTGATTCAGTAACTCTGGGTACTGCCTCAGAATGTACTGATATTATTGGGCCTGAGGCAATGTTATGAGGTTCATCACAGTTCAATTGCCAAAGGTCTAACACTGGAAAAGCAACTTTTTTTTTTTTTGGTATGGGGGATCAAACTGAGGACCTTATGCTTGTGAGGCAGGCGGCGGCCCCACTGGGCTAAATCCCTGACCCTAAAATTTCTATTAAGGTATAAGACACATCTGATTATTTATTTATAATACCTTGTACCCATGGCACCTTCATCTGGGGATATCTTACATTTCTGTCTGCGTTACAGTGGCTGATTTACCTCACAGTGACCTTCAGTCTTAGATTTCCTCAGATTAGTACCTCAGTTCAGCTATACCTGAACTTTTGTAGAATTGACTACCTTGGAACTGGATTGATACTTAGATCTCAGAATCCAAAGAAATATCCTGAGATAGGAGACAAATACTAAATTGATACTACCTGACCAGTTTCATTCAGAGACACTTATTAAGCACTATCTAGAGAAATTTCAAACTGCAGCGGGAGATTTGAGAGTCTCTGATGACTTATAATTTCTGTCACAATTGCCAAGAAACATTTTGGCTTTGTGTGTGTGTGTGTGTGTCTGTCCACATGCGTGCCCACTCTACAAATGTTTAATCAAGTGTTTTATTATTGGTATCAATTATACACTTCTCTCAAAATAAATTTCATATTTTGACTCATAATTCATGAGCTGGTCTTAAGCTCAACAGGAAGCCTTTCGTAAACCAGTAGGTGTTACTAGTAGGTGTTTTTCACACGACTCAGTGAGTTTTCCAGAAGTTTCTCTTAACTATGAATGACAATTCTCTATTTGGCCACTAGATGTACCCAAATCCCAGGAGAGGATAGGCCAAATCCTGAGATCATGATAGTTGCTTGTTTGCTGAATAAGAAAAAAGCTCTGGAAGCAAAGGAGAGGTCAGCATTAGAGGTGTGTAAAGGGACAGCACTACCTGTTAGGGCAGCTGCACACATCCCTGAGCATTCACACAGGCGTACCCCACTACCACTAATGATCCTAAACGCAAATCTAACACTGCCTAGGAGATAAAGCCACTGAGTCAGGGGATTCAAGTTAGAGTGTGTGTAATCTTGGTAGGCAAAAGTTGGTAGCCACGGTAATTGTGGCTTAGGGGCATCTCCATGGATGGCGTGTGTCTGTGTTTCTCACAGTGTGTTTGTGTATCACCTGGGGCCTCATTAGGAATGAGTGCAACTTCTGAAGACACACCCCAGATGGACTGAATCAGAAACTCTGGAGGTGGAGCCCAGTTAGAACTATTTCAACAAGTGCTCTGGTAGTTTTGTGGCAGGAAACCATTGGCTTATGCATAGATTCTGTTATTCACCCACTCATTTATTCCTGCATTCTTTTTTCAATCTCAAAGTGGGTAGCCAAAATAGAGACAATCCTATGCAAAAGCATGACACATTTCTTCCTCATCCCCTACCCAATGGATAGGGAATTAATTTCCACATCAAATAACTTTGCCATCAATCAATGAGAATTCCTAGTGCTATCAGTAGTAAAAATGACTTCTCCAAGATGGGCTTTTGGAGCTATTATAAAACCTCTGCTGGTGGAATGAAATCCCACTTGCTGGGCCTGGTATCAGGTGGAGTGTGTTACAAGATCCCCTTTACAACCTGCTCCCAAAATGACTGCTATTCAGTCTTATGAATACAAAGCAGGCATATCCATAGGGTCACCAATGTTAGAGGGTGCAAAATCCCACTGAGGCGGTGAGGAATTAGGCGTTGACTGGAGCCTGTGTATGGATTCCCCTCTCCCAGGACTGGTCAGTGAAAGGCCAAACAGGGACACCACCAGTTTGAATGAGTCCGCCTGCCATCTCAGAGAAACACAGGTTCCACAGAGGACATGTCAGCAGGTTAGAGAGGCCACATCAATCCACTGCTTCTCTGACCCAGCCCCTCAAAAGCCTGGAAAGAAACACTATTTTAAAAGCCTCTTGGACTGCAAGAGACATCTATATTCTGCTTGCACAGAGAGGGCTCTCTCACGTTTATCAATAAACCTGCTTGGACTGTTGGGTTCACGTTCCCCTCCCTCTTTTGTGGGTAATCAAGACCATCAAATGCACAGCACACAGATGGCTTCAGTCCTCTGGACAGTTAGGCTTGTGGAAGGAGATTTGTGCTGAGCGACCTCATCTGGGAATCACAATGACTTCATAGTTATTTTCTGAGCTGTTTATTTCTTCTAATACTTGAACCAGGTCATTATAACATCTACTTGGATATTGCCAGGGCTATTTTCCTTTCTCTCCCTCCTTCCTCCCTTATAGGAGACCAAAGAAGAATTGAGGCCTAATTGGCCTCCCTGTGAGCACAAAGGAGAAAGGCTGCACTCAGGGGTGGTTGCATATTGCAGGTTCTAGGAAAAAGTTAAGACAGCTGAGGTTAAGTTGTTTACCAGGATATGTACAAATGGATATTAGAAAGATGAATCTTGTGTTATTTTGCTTGTACCCGTGTTCGAGGAAATAAATGCAAAAGGAGCCAGGTGGTGGGGCTCCTCCACCTGCAAGATGCAAGAGTTCTCTAGCTGCTAGCTTGGTAAACTGATTCTAGGTCTCCGTCATTCATCCTTGTTTGCCCCCAGGTCAGGGAGAACAAAGTAGCAGGTCTAGGTCCTGGAACAAGGCTGGCTGGGTAGGTGGGCTACAGGTGGCACCTCAATGCAGGCACAGACCAGCCTGGACTACCTTCCTTCCTTTGCACAGGGCCTGTTTTTCCTACACAAGATGACCTGTTTCATTGCCATCATAACTTTAGAGATGAGGAAACTGAGTCTCCGGAACATAAGAATCAACTCTCTTTCAGAAGAGAAACAGGATGCTGGAGGGAGGGGGGAGGAAATGATCTTTGGGAGATGAAAGAGAAGGTCACTTCTGGAACCCAAATGAGATACTGTAAGGCTACACTATGTAAATGGCACTGTAAAACACAACTCCAAGCTTCCTCCTGTTGACCACATAGCACAGCCCTTCCACACCTCAAAAGAAGAGACAGAATTTGCAGATGCCAGCCCCAGAAACCCAGGAGCCTGGTTTGTTTTCCACGAAAAAGAGGAGGATGAGGTGAAGGTGGCTGGAAATGATAAAGCAAGTGGGAGATCTGCATTGTCTCTGTGCCCCCTCTCCCCTTTGTTCCTTATTCTGAAAGACCCTTGCCTACTTGTAAACATAAACGGTGAGATGGTGAGTTGATGCTAATGAGCTCCTTCATCTCCTGGGAGCGAGCTTTGAATTAAACCCAAGAGGCAGCACAGTAAGATTTTAGAAATGGAGAATCATGGGGGTGTGTGATGCCCACGTTTATTTTTTAGGAGTATTTCTATTGAATTACTAATTTTAATTTTGGCTTTTATATTAAGCAATGAATACTTAACAGGAAAATAAAATATCAATAAAATAAAATATTAAAATTTTAGTATGTAATGAGTGTGTAGAATAAATATCAATATTTTCTTTTTTTTCCTCAAGTTTATTGGTACATTTTAGGGACACAGTACAGTTACATTCATCATTGGGCTCTTATACGTTTAATGACAGGTCTTGGTTCTCATTTTTTCCCCTTGTCCCTGCCCCCTCTTTACCCCCTCCTCCCT